AGAGATATTTGAATTTTTTTGCTGTCGTTCATCAAATCGTGACGTCAAATGGATTTTATAAAAGTTGCGGTTATCAACGCGGTTAGGTTCGGTGGTAGTCGGGGTAGTTTTGTTTGGTTTTTTTCGGATGACATTTTTCCCGGAAACGTTTCGTCGTCGTACACGTGTCCCTCCCCCTCCTCCTTCCGCCTCCCCACTCAACCTACAAATTTTTTTTTCAATTTTTATCCTTTTTAAAAATTTCTTTTTTTTTTAAATTATTATAATTTGAAAAAAGTTTTTTTTCTTTCCAACAACGAACGCGATTTTTAAAAAAAACGAGTAACGAAGCCAATTAATGGAAAAAAAGAAAAAAAATGGTGGGAAAATCGTTTTTATTTGGGGGGGCCTTCTGGGGTCGGTCGATCGGTCGGTTTTTTTTTTTAAATTTAAATTATTCGTTTGTTGTTTTTATTTAATTTAAGACGAAAACATTTCAAGTCAGCCATTTTTTTTTTTACGGCTTGGGTTTACTCGGTGTTTAGTAATTTTACTCAATTTTTTTTTCTCGCATCCGAGACCCCGGGCCCCCTCCCCCCATTTTCTCTCTCCCTTAGCAAAAAAAAAAAAAGAAAATTTTTTTTTTAGTTTCACTAAACAAATAATTTTCTACACGCAACCAACCTTTTTTTCGAATAATAATCGTTTTAAAGGTTTTTAAATGGAGAAAAAAAGAAAAAAAATGAGGGGAACCGCCCACCGTTGCCACCACCGCCGCCCCCGCTCTCCCCTCTGCCCCAGGAAAAGAATCTCGTTAAGTATTTAATGAATTCGTTACTTTTTTTTTTTTTTTTAATATTAAAAAAATGAGAAGAGAAAAAAAAATGGCGGGGATTTAGGACAGGAGGACATCAATGGTTGCTTCGGGAAAAAAAAATTGTTTTTTTTTTTTTTTTTTTATGAAAATGAAAATGAAAAGGGTCGAAATTATAAATGTTTAATACCCTATGTAAAAATAATAATAATAATAATAATAATGATAATAATGGGAAAACAACAACGACGACGACTACAACCCAAGAAACGAGTAAAAAAAAAAAAAAAAAAAAAAAAAAAAAAAAACATTTATTCACGGTTTTTAATTTTAATTTTAATTTTTTTTTGTGAATTAAATAAATACATTTTATTATTATTATTATCATTATTATTATTATTATTATTTTAATTCTCGATGGCCTTTTCAATTAACGGCCGTCCATCTTACTTAGAGAAAATACGAAATCGTTTTAACGTTTTTTAATCCTAATTTGTTATCCGTTAATTTAATTTTTTTTTTTTTTTTCGGCGGCGCCGAAATTATTATTATTATTATTATTATTACATTTTTACTCAATTTCTCGCGTGTAAATATAATAATAATAATAATAATTTATATATTTAAATTTGCCAATTTTTTCCAAACGTGACGAAATACTTGTGTAAAAAAAAAAAAAAAAAAATTGACAAATAAAGTGTCTCGCACGACCTTAACCTGAGATATTAATAAAAAGTTTTTTTTTTTATGAAAATTTTATTAAAATTATTTATTAACTTATTTATTTTATTAGGGGTTTATTAAGGTAATTTTTTAAATTTGTCCTTATGGTTTGTGCACATGCGTAACTCGTGCCACGAATTTTTCCAATAATTTTTCCCTTTTTATTTATAATTTTGAAGTACGATTTATTTACATGCTTAAAATGTTTTACGTCATTTCCACCTCTCGTTTATTATTATTATTATTATTATTATTATTATTATTATTATTATTATTATTATTATTACTATCATTGATATTTTTCCATTCAAAGTTGAATGTTTCGTTTACGTCGTCGGTCGTTTTTCAATCAAAACTTTTCAACTCTCGATTTGCAAATAAACTCGAAAATATTACTTGAAAAATTCGTTGCTGCCCCTAAAATAAATACAAAAAAGAGAGAGAGAGAATGAGAGAGACAGAGACTGAAGTAATTTAAAGAAAAGCGAGAGAGAGAGAAAGAGAGAAGGAGAAATTCACGTTTAAAAAAAAAAGGGTTGAAGATTTTTTGTTTGTTATTATTATTTTTCGATTTGTTCATCTCGTAATTTATTTGTTCGATCGTAAAAAAATTAATAATAATAATAATGATGATGATGATGATGATTTTTAAAATTAATTAATAATTTATTTTTGGGGTGTCCTCGTCCGTTACGTAAACAATCGTCTATATGAATGAAAATTAATTGGGGGGAGCAAAATGAAAATGAGCAAAAATAAAAAAATTTGCAACATTTACAAAATTAGATTTTTATCCCAAAAAACAAAAAAAATTTCAGGAAGTGATGCAACGATTATCATTATTATTATTATTATTTATCATTCTCGCGAGTGTATGTGTAATTATGTTACAATTTAAACGTTAATAATAATAATAATAATATTTTTCTATCGTCGTCATCATCGAAATACACACACACGCTTACAAAAAGAAATGGTAGTCGATAAATAATAATAATAATAATACTAATACTAACAACGGATTTTATTATTATTATTATTATTATTATTATTATTATTATTATTAATTACGTAAGTGGATTCTTATGACTTTCTTAAATGGGTAATAAGAAATATTTTCGAACGTGATTATTACATAAATTACATACTCGATGAAATCGATTTGAAAAAAAAAAAATGATTTAGAATTTTTTTTCTTTTTTTTAACGGTTTTTGCTTCTCACCACCTCTCCGACACACCCTCCGATCCTATTGTAAAAGAGAGAGAGAGAGAGAGGAAAATTTGCAAACGATTTGGATTTTTTTTTAAACGGTGGTCATGAAAATGAAGAAAATATATATATTTGCCGTAATTTGAATTTATTTATTCGTTCGTTTGTTTGATTGTTTGTTTGTTTGTCATTCTCACGTTTGATATGTGTAAGTGCAAGTATGTGTGTGAGTGTGTGTGTGTGTGTGTGTGACAAAATTGAAATTCGGTGATTGTGTGTATATGAAAATAATATTTATTTATTTTTAAAACTTTAAAAGTCATATCCGTGGTCGTCAACAACTGATAACTTATCAATGAAAATAAAATCAGGTTGGTCAAAGGGAATTAATTTGTCGTTTATCTCTACTTTTGACTTTTGTTTTCGAGAACGTTCACGATGTTCGATGGATTTTAGGTGATCGATCATCGATTAGAGGGAAGTGATCGGGAAGAGACGAAACTAAAAAAATGAGGGGAAGAGACAGGGAAAAAAAACAAAACAAAACAAACGAAGGAACGATTGTTCCAGGTTTTTGTTTCCCTCCTTCCCTTCTCTTTTGAGTTTTTTTTTTTTTGTCCAGGAAGAAGCGTACAATGTCCGGTTTTATTTTCTCAAAGTTGTCTGTGGCAACGTCTTCGTCATTATCAAAAATGTTCATTCACACACACACACGCACTCGCATTTGCACGCACACGCAAAATTACTAAAAAAAAATTATGCGATTCGGTCCAAATTGATAAGCAGAGAATTTTTATCACAAAAATTATTCGTTTCCTCTTTCGAATGTTTTTTTTTTTTTTTTGAAATAATTTTGCTGTCGGTTGTTTGCCTTTTTTTTTTTTACTGTCGCTTCGCCTCCTGAAATATTTACTACGTTGACCGAGTTCTAGGATTACAAACAAAGCAGAAGAAAAAGGAAAATTTTTTTTTTTTAAATTATTTTGTCCTCGTCGATAGGCAATGTTTTTTTTTTTTATTCTCTTCCTGAATGACGAGTGAAACTTTACTCACATAATCGATTTTTTTTTTTTTTTATTTAAACAAACTAGATCAAACGTAACGTTGTTGTTGTTGTTGTTTGTCACTTTCGATCGGATTATAAGCCTCAAGGGAATAAAATAGCACAATTAAGTTTACTTTTTTTTTCACGCGGAAAGTATAAAAACCGCGAATGTTTATTTTTTTTAATATAATATAAAGTTTTAAGTCTTTAAAAATCCGTTAAACGCCCTCCCTTTCTCCTCCCTTCCTCCCTCCCCCCGTAAAAATTATTTAATGATTTTTATTTTTTAAATGGAAAGTAATGGTTCCCTCCCCTCACTTTTTGATTCCTCGAGGTTTGATGTTGATTTCATGACGATAATGATAAGTCGAAAAAGCAGAAGAAAAAAAGTTTTTTTTTTTTATTGCTCAAAGTCGGCGTCGAAAGATCATCGTAAAAATTCAATTTTTGAGATATGAATGACGTACAAAAAATAATTAATAAAATTTTATTTGGGAAATTACAAAATATTTACATTTAATATCAATTAAAAGGACTTTAATAATTGAATAATAATTTGATTTCGGTTAATTTTCGAAGGAATAAACGCGTTTGTTTTGTTTGTTCGAAGCACAAAGTTCAACAACAACAACAAAACAACAACGGGTTGTGTTTAAAAAAAATGGAATTTCGTTTTTTTTTTTTTTTTTTTTTTTGCATTTTTTTCGCATGGAAATTTATTTATTTATTTGAAAATCTATTAAAATAACCTGTGTGTGATAAGAGATAACACGCGGTTATGAAAAATACTCGCAATCACCACGTGATTGTTTGTAAATAAAAAAAAAACACACAAAAAAAAAAAAAAAAGATGTCGGAAAAACAATCGATGAAACTCTTGTCATCCATTGATTCATTATTGATTTAGTAAATTGAAAATAAAAAAAAATGTTTTTATGTTTGTGCGTTTGTTTGTGCGTGTGTGCGTGCGTGTGTTTGTTTGTTTGTCTACGTGATTTTAAATCGTAAGGAAGGAATGTTTTTTTTAATCGTTATTACGTTCTTTTTTATATTTTCTACCTGCGTCATTAATTACGGCGTAGAGTGTTTGTAAAAAAAAAAAAAAAAAAAAAAAAATTTTCAAACGATGCGTTGTCGTCTCGAATAATTCTCGATAGAATTTTCCAGATGATAGGGGAAAAAAAAAATTTTCATATTTTCATTTTTTTTTTTTTTTCTTTTCCAGTGTATGAGACTGTACGTCGAATTCGAAATCCAAGAAGGAGCCTACGACATATCCTGTCCGGATGCACAATGCGGTAAACAGGGAATCGTGTCGATCGACGAAGTGGAAACGTTAGTCATGCCGCGTATGATGGAAAGATATCGAAGGTTCAGGCTCAATCACGAAGTCGACATGGATCGTAATCGAACGTGGTGTCCTAGAGCGGGATGCGAAACGGTTTGCAACATTTGTCCGAGAGAAAAATGTTCGCCGACGAGCGTTCACTGTCCCACGTGCGATTCGGATTTTTGTTCGAATTGTAAAAACGGTTGGCACAAAGGGCTCACGTGCGAAGAAAATTCTAAAAAACTCGCGAAGGAAGGACGAGTGGATTTCATGGAACCTGGAATTCCATTCGATTCCGATTCGATAAAATGTTGTCCGATGTGTAGCGTTCCAATAGAAAAAGACGAAGGTTGCGCTCAGATGATGTGCAAAAGGTGCAAACACGTTTTCTGCTGGTACTGCTTGGCATCATTAGACGTAAGTATTGGGGATCAAGGGGGGGACCCGGGGGGGAATAGAGAAGTAACTTTGAAATAAGTACGAGAGAGTAATTGTAGGGAACGGACAACAACCTCTCTACGTTTCCGCTTGAAATATTTTCCGAATGAAGTTTTTTTTTTTTATTTGTCGTCGAGGCGTGCGAACGTCATCGTTCGGTAATTTTAAAAGTCGGCACTCGAACCACACGAAATTTCAAATAATAATAACAATTATTATCATTATTATTATTTGTACTTTTGTTTTTTGACGAAACATCGTTCACGATTTTCTTTCGCAGGATGATTTTTTACTTCGGCACTACGACAAAGGACCGTGTAAAAATAAATTGGGACACACGAGAGCTTCCGTCATATGGCACAGGACTCAAGTCATTGGAATATTTGCTGGTTTGGGCCTTTTACTCCTCGTGGCAAGTCCTCTCCTACTCTTGGCCGCACCTTGCATCGTCTGTTGCAAATGCAGAGTTTGCAGCGGTGCAAAATTGGATGCCGACGACGATCTACCGGAAGAATCGGGAACGTGAACGTGAACCTTAAAAATACCTCGCGAATCGCATTATGTAAAAAAAAAAAAAAAAAGGAAAAACCGCAAACTTAACACGCTGGATAAAACGACAGAGAAAGAGAGAGGGAGAGAAAGAGAGATAGAAATTAAATTAGTGGAAAATGGGAAAGCGTTGCTCCGATTTACCGTCGTTGACCAACCCTGAAACAAAAAAACAAAAATTATTATTATTATTATTATTATTATTATTAAGTTGACCGGTCATTAACCAAACGATTTCTTTCTTCCGGGTTTAGTCGAAATAATAATAATAATTGTCATTATTATTATTATTATTATTATTATTATTATTATTATTACTGTTATTATCATCATCATCGTAGTAATTTTTTTTTTTTTTCATAATAGTAGTAATAATAATAAGTATTATTATTATTATTATTAAATCGAAATAATTTTGTGTATTTTAACGCGTTTCAAATAAATCAATAATAAATTATTAATAATAATAATAAAAAGTAATGAAATCATTGATTGATTGATTGATTGATTGATTTTTGTAATTAAAATTTTACAAAAAAAAAAAAAAAAGAAAAAAATTCTATCTTTTGATGTCTTTCCTTTTTTTTCTTTTTTTTTTTTTTTTTTACTCTTCATTAATTAACATTTTTTTTTATAATTAATAAATAAAATAAAAACAAATTTATTTATAATTTATTATTATTATTATCATTATTATTATTATTATTAATATAAATACGTAAATGTTTTACGTACTATACGAATGCGAGTAACTCGCATTTTTTTTTGTTTTTTTTTCTGTGGAAAAAATAATAAGCATTTATTAATTAAACTTATTATTATTATTATTATTATTATTAATATGCGATTGTAAAAAAAAATAAATTAATATTATTATTATTTTTTTTTTTTTATTTATATTATTATTATTGAATCGATCGTATTAATCATTAATGTCACAATAATTAATTTAAAAAAAAGAAGAAAATTATTATTTTTTTTTTTTTTATATATATATATTTTTTTTTTAATTATTTTTTTTCATGGCATATCACGTGTTTAATAATAATAATAATAGTAATAAAAGAAGAAATAAATATCAATAAATGTGAGATTTTTTAATTAAGATTTATAAATAAAAAATTAAATAGATGAAAAATTTGTATATAAATAAATAAACTTGTCGATTATATCATTCCTAAAAAGTATTTTTCAATAATGATAATAATAATAATAATAATAAAATAAATATTATCGAAAACGAAAAAATTGTACATTAATTATAAATATATATATATATATACTGTTAATTTTATATTCTTAATTAAATTTTTTGTAAAAAGTTGTATTGGAAGGCTCTAAATATTATAAATAAATGTTTATAGTCTAATTTTTTTTTTTTTTTTTTTTTTTTTTTTATGATTTAATGTATTATTGTTGATGAAAAAATATAAAAGTATGAAATCTTTTTTTTTAAATTTTTACCTTTTTTTTATATTTTATCCCATTTTATTTAAATTATACTAATAAAAAAAAAAAAAAAAATT